GTAACCATCACTACTATCTAATCCCAAACATTTTTGTTCCCCCTTCCTAAGTAATCCCCAGACCCTTAGCAATCACACCACCTCTAACCCTCTCCCCTTAGTGCTTGGCAACCACAAATCTACTTTCAGTCTCTGTGGCACATTGGATATAAATGGAATTAACACAATAGGCGGTCTTTTGTGCCTGGCTTCTTTCACTTGGCATAATGTTTTCAAGGCTCCCCCATGCTACAGTATGAATCTGTACTTCGTTCCTGTTTGTGACTGTATAATATTCCACTGGGTTGATGATATGCCTCATTTTGTTTACCCATTCATCAGTTGCTGGACATTTCAGTTTTTCTTACTTTGGCCATTATGAATAATACCATTAGGAAAATGTATGTGCAAGTTTTTGTATGGACATATTTATTTTGTATGGACAGTGTTCTTGAGTAAACACCCAGGAGTGGAATGCTGGGCCATTCGGTAAGTCTATGTTTAACTTTTTAGGAACTGCCCTACTGTTCCAAAGCAGCTGCATCATTTTACACCCCACCAGCAACTTATGAGGTTCAATTTCTACACAACCCCACACCATTTGTTATTGTTTTTTTATTCTAGCCACCAAGTGGGTGTGAAGTGGTATCTCAATGTGGTTTTGACTTGCATTTCCCTAATGACTAATGATACTGAACATCTTTTTTTTTTTTTTTAATCTTCACCCCATATTTTTACAGAGGGTGGAGGGGATGAAGAAGGGGGGAGGGGAGAGAGAGAGAGAAACATCGATGTAAGAGAGAAACATCGATTGGTTGCCTCCTGCACACTCCCTGACCGGGGCCAGGGATCAAGCCTGCAACCAAGGTACGTGCCCTTGACCAGAATCAAACCCGAGACCCTTCAATCCAAGGGCCGACACTCTAACCATTGAGCAACACCGACCAGGGCAGTGTTGAACGTCTTTGCTTGCGCTTATTGGTCCTTTGTATATCTTCTTTGGTGCAATGTCCACTCAAAACATTTGCTTCTTTTAAATTGGGTTATTTATTATTTTATTGTGGAGTTGTATATTTATATAGTTTAAATCCAAATCCTTTGTTTCATATATGTGTTGGGGATATTTTTGCCCTGTGGCTTGCTTTTTTTTAATGAGATTTTTCAGAGAGCACAAGTTTATAATTTCGATAAAGTCCAATTTATCAATTTTTATTTTATGTTTTGTGTTTTTGTGTTCCACCTAAGAAACATTTGCCTAACTCAAAGGTGCAAAGATTTCCCCCTGTGTTTTCTTTTAGACATTTTATAGTGTTGGGCTTTACATTTAGGCTTGTGATCTGTTCAAGTACATCCGCTTAAGATGTGAGGTAAGAGTCATGTTTGACACTGAGGATACTTCCAAGTATCTCTCGTTCTACATTATTACATATATGTCGACACTGCATATTATTTTATATTTCATGGGGGAGAAAGCCTAGCCCACCTGCCCCGCACCCCTTACAGGGAAGCTTTTTCTGACTTATGTTTTCTGTGCATTTCTTTTCTTTTTTTAACAGTAAAGATACAGAGGTATTTTGCCAATATGGAGCATGCTATTTTGATTCAACACGGCCACATTCCTCTCCGTCTTTGACAACACCTGGTATTATAGAACTTTGAATTTGTTTTTATTTATTTATTTGTCAATTTGGATGGTGTGAAGGGACATCTCACAGTTTTATTGTTGATTTCTCTAGTTGCTGGGAAGTTTAAGTATTTCTTCACATACTTGTTAACCATTCATATTTTCCTTATATGAATTTTCCATTATGGCTATATCCATTATTGATATTTTTATTTAATTCCTCTATTTTTCTTCTTGATTTGCAAAAATACTTTGTATATGGTAAATTAGAATTCCTTAATAGTTTGTTTTATTTGTGAAGTTAAATATATATATGTATGCAATAACCATTGTAAATTTGACACTGCAAATATTTTCTTTCATTCTGTCACCCATCTGTTAACTCTGTGGTGTTTCGTGAACAGAGATCTTTAATTTTTATGTGGTCGAATCCATCATTTTTTCAGCTACACTGTGTGCTTTTAGAATCTTTACTCCCTCAATGTACAAAGGATGTCCTCCTTTATGCTCACCTCTTAGCTTCATGGCTTTTATGTTTAGATATTTACTCCATTATGTGTGTTGTGAGGTAGGGATCCAACATTAGTTTTTCTGTCCTGGTTTACCAGCTCCGTGTCCTGATTTCTTTAGCACAGCCGCTAGGCAGCAGAGGGGGGAGAGGGCCCGGGGATCAGGAGCCCTGAGTGGGGAGCAGAGACTGACCCGCTTTGGGGGTTTTCTCCCACTACCGGGGCTGAGAGCTGGACTGGGACAGCATCGGGTATGGGAGTCAGAATGGCCGGGAGGGAAGGGAGCTGGGGACTGGGTGGGGGCAGGAGTAGACACGATAAGCCATGAAGCGCTGTAAACAGGAGCAAGGGCTTTGGTTCCCGTGAGTAGGTGCTTGAGACACAGGGACTTGCTTGCACGACAATCACTGAAAATCTGACCAGCAGGCCAGCGTGGGGGCAGAACACTGGGCCCCAGTGTGATGTGAAAGGAGACGTTTCCTTTATCCCCTCCACCTGCCAGCCACAGAACCTGTCAGCAAAGGTTCAGGGCTGTCCCCAGGCCTCTGCCGGCTGCACTGCCTCGAGGAATTCTCCACCGAAGGGGCAGAGGGGGAGAGCGAGAGAGGACAATCCCCCGGGGCTTTTTAGTCGCAGTTTTGAAGTGACATTTCGTTGGCTGGAAGGAGTTATATGACTGCCCGCCTGCAGGAGCGCGGGAAGGGCCGGCCTCTGTGGACCCGCAGGTGAGGTCTGGAGAGCAGCCACCGACAGTCATGTCCACCGCGGGATGCGCAATGCGGTGTCCCCAGTCAGGACTGGCCTCCTCCTGGGCCTGCCTGGGCTTCCAGCCGGCCTGGGACTCGCCCTGGAGGGGAGATGTTGATGGTGGAGGCCCTGCAGGTCCCAGGGAGGCCTGCCCTCCATGGAGGGGCTGTGAGGCCAGCTGGCAGGAAGGGGGACAGGGTCTCCGGCTACCAGGGTTCCTTCCTGCCCTTTCTCACCAAGGGCGCTTCAAAGGGCTCACACCTGGGAGGAAGTGACACCAACTGAACGGAGGGGGAGGGTTAGGAGTGATGCTGTACTGTCTCCTCCTCTCCCTTATGTTCCAGTTTCCGTAGTGTGGACAGACTTCTGGGACAACTAGGGAAATAACAAATGTTTATGTGTGCAGGTGGGTGTGGTGGGTGAGGCTTCTGTCCCCGGGGAGACGGGACTGAGGGTCTCAAGGGCCTCCTGGCCGGTGTGTGGTGCCCTTTTCGCTGGCTTTCACCAGAGAGGCCACCCCCTTGGATCTCCGCTTGGTAGCCAAGGAAGGTGGGGCTCAAGTCATTTAAGGGCCTTGACCAAGGTCCTGTGACGACTTGGGAGGGACCAGGTTGGGAGCCCAGCCTGCTGGCCCTGACCTGACCCTCATCTTCACTCCTTTCCCTCCACCTTGGCACCTCCCTAAGCTAAGCCTGCCCCTCAGACCATATCTGACACATTAAGACCATCCCTTCAGGAGAGCAGAATCGAGTATAAATTCCTTCCAACCCCCAGGAGTTGAAAACAAGAGGCCTGTGCCCCGTAGACCCACCCAGGAAAGGTGATGTGAAAACCCAGGAGGCGGGGGTGGGGGCCCGAGGCAGGGCCCGGGGTGTAGGAGGAGTGGAAACAGGATGTGAGCAGAGAGGGGGCCCTGAGCAGTAAGGTGGCTCCCAGCAGAGGCGGCCACCTGGTATAGCGTATTCTGAGCCATGGAAAAAGACCCTGGGCTGCGTGGGAGGTGTCACATCCTGCGCCCTGCCAGGCCTCCCCCAGCCTGCCTGGCTCCTGGCAGAATCCAATCCATGGGGGGGGGGGTGGCCCTTTGGAGAGATGGGGGAGCCTGGCACCCAAAGGCGAAACCGAAAATGAAAGGAAGAGCAGGGCAAAGGGCTCGCTTGTCCACACGGCCAGTGCTAATAGCGGCCTGCTCAGCTGAGCTGGGCAGAGGGCAGGGAAGCTGAAGCTGCCGAGGCCCACGCCCTGGCTTCAGGGAGCCCACGTATCCTGTGCAGGGCAGAGGTGGGCCTGCGCTAGGAAGCCCTGGGAGAGGCCCTGAACTCAGCCTGAGGATCTGGGAAGGCTTCAAGGATGGGCGGATGAGGGGTGGGTAAAGGCATCCCAGGCAGTGCCAGCCAGCACAGGGCGCTGACAGGATACCTGGCCCGAGGTGTGTGGGTCATTGTCACTAGGGTCTCTTTTTGCCCACCTGGCCAGAGCCCACCCCCTTGGCCTGCTCAGGACCTGCAGTCTCTCCTCTGGCCTTGCCTCGCACCAGCATTGACACCCGTCATTCTCCTTCCTTGTCAGAGCAAGCTCCTTGGCCCGTATCCCACCCCCCAGCAAACCTGCAGCGTCACCCCCAGTTCTGGCTGAGTCACCATCAACCTCCTGGGGGTTTTCAACACTTCTCCTTGGTTTGTAGCCAGATGTTTTCTCCTGGAGCGTTTTCATACATATTTATGTTTATATAGAATCTAGACCTTTCTCTTTTTTATAGAAATGGTATCCTCCTCTGTGGCCTTCTTTTGCCACTTGCTTTCCTCGCGTGGCCGTGGAGCTGGTTCTGTAGCAGCGTGCACAGAGCCGCCTCCTTATGGCCGCGTTATTCGTAAGCAGGGCCTTGGAGACACTAGAAAAGGTGCGTCTCCCGTTTCCGCCGGTACAGACAATGCTGCCCTGGATGGGCATCTTCCTGCAGCTCTCTCCGTGCAGAATAACGCCCGGGGGCAGGGGTGCGGTCAGAGGGCGCGCGCTTTCAACGTTTGGATAGGTCCTGCCTATTGATCTCTAAAAGAAACCATACCAACACCCTCTCCCATCGAAAGGGCATGAGGTTACTCATCTACCTGCCCCTCTCTTACTAAACCTTTGCCAGCCCCATGGGTGAAAAAGCCATCACCTTGTTTCAGTGGGTACGACGTGAGTTTCGCACTTGCACTTCTTGGCTTGTTGCTGTTCTTTGCTCCTTTCCTATCGTGTTCGTTTTTGTTGTTGTTTTTAATTAATCTTTATTGTTGAAAGTATTACAGGTGTCCCTCTTTTTCCCCCTATTGA